ATGAAACAAGTCTACAAAAGAAACTTGTAAGATTATAACAACTATCTTCAAAAGTTACATATAAATGTGGAGCTTGGACATCATAGAAAGAGAGTCACCACTTTGATTCGAGAACACATTTTTTTTCTATATATATATATATATATATATAAACATATATACAATAATGGATTACTTGCACTCCACGAACCAATAATTAAGAAATAAAATAAAATAATTTGAAATAAGGCCAAGCAACAAACAAAAAAGCCAAAATGGGGAAGATAACTAGATAAGGGCCATGACCATGAGGCCCAGTCATGAGGTCCCACGCAATATGCTATTTTCCAGGTTTTGTCCCTTGTTTCCCTCCTCTCCCAATAATTAGATTAGATACAATTATTTTACAACATATTTTATGTTTTAAGTATAAAATAAATTTATTTTATGTATCACAAATACTAAAATATTAAGATATTATAAAATGACATGACGTAAAAATGTATACATTATACATATAATAAATCCCTTAAAAAAAAAAGAGACATATAATAAATATCTTTCTCTTTATATACATATACATAAAACATGATATATATAATACTATGATTTCATAACTATTGTTTGATTTGATAGACGTTGTTGAGAGCTTTAAGGTGCAAGACCTTGAAAGCACGTTAATCTTTAAAAGGTTAGATCAAATAAGATAAATAAAGTTGGCTTAGAAAATATATAAGAATTTTTTTATTAAAAAAAGCTCATAATTTCAAGAACCCTATAGAGAATCTAGAAAGAGTATTCCCTCTTCCTTTTCCTTTCTTCCTCCTTCGTTTTCACTTGAACTCTTCCTTTTCTACCATTTTCTCAGCTAATTCTAGTAGAGGTAGTGAAGAATTTGAGCTCTGAGGTCAAAACTTCAAGCTGCTGGTGTGTGAAGTTGCTTATTCCTCTTCTCCTCTTGCAAATTGATTCTCCAAGAGGTAAAGGAAGCTATAATTTTGAATTTTTCATGCATAAAGAGGATTGTAATGCTGAAATAACTTGATTTTGGGTTGTTAAGAATAATTTGGATGATGAAAACGATGAGGTTGAGTGGGTTTTGTAGCTTTAAAATGGGGCGTGAGAAATGAATTGATTTTTGAGTAATTCTAGTTGCATGTTGTTTCTGGTGATGAAACCATGTTGTATTTGTTGTATACATGTTGGTTATTGTGTTGCATGTTATTGGGATTTGTTGATTTTTAGGTGATTTGTGCGAAATCGTTTTTGCATAAGTGTGGAAACTTATATCACGTTGGGCGTGCCTTTAGAGCACTGGGCATGACTCCAAGGAGAGGTCTTTGTCTCACTCACGCTAGACGTATGATTGGTGGCATTGGACATGAAGAGAGAGACTCATCTCAAGTTGAATTCATGTCGGGCGTGGGTTGAACGCACCGAGCACGAAGTGAGAGATTTATCTTTGCCTGAATTCACATCGGGCACTAGTGGAGTGGCACTAAGCGTGAGTCAGGCAAAAAGCTTTCTACATAATTAGGACCAAGTGTGGGTGTTGTCATGCCAAGCACAAGAATGTGGGGCACACTCTACCTCAATCACGTTGGACATGAGTGGTGAAAAGTCGGGTGTGGATGAAACAAAGAGTTCTCTGCTTGAATGGTGTCAGGCATCTAAGGAGTGGCACCGAGCGCAAATTGTATAATATGAAGTTGTTATTTAAGTTCTTATTTAGTTGATTGAGTTGTATGATGTAAAGTTGGTTACTCGAGTTGTTTAATAGTTGATTTATGAGGGTATAGTTGTATGAATGATGGTGTAAGATGATATATGTGTTGATTTGTAGTTATAAATGTTGAAAAGATGTATGTTGTTTAAGTTATTCAAGTTAATATGTTGTAAAGTTGAACGTTGTATTAGTTGCATGTTGATAGAGTTGTTAAGTTTTTAAACTATACATATGTGGGTTAGATACATGTCTAAGTTACGTTGCATAAAATTATAAGGGAGTAAAAGTTGTTTTCGAAAGTTTAATATCCTATTGAGTGAATATACGTTGCGGTGCTCTAAGAGTCCGATTGAAACCCCTCAATAGGTAAGTTGGCCTCTGAGTGAGTAAGGTGTTTTTCAATTGTCCCCTCTAAGTTTTATGTGGTATCTGTGTGTGGACAAAGTCGAGGCACACATGTATAAAATGACCAATCGAGTAAAATATCAAATCGAGGATTTAGTCTTTAACCTAGTATTGGAGGATTGTGATATCTGAAAGGTAGTTAGTGGGTTAATCACATAGATGGCTTAGTGTTGCAGTTTAATGTCGTGGTAGACTTATATTCAAGTTGTTCTACCTTGACATGGTACCATATTTCCTTGTTTAAGTGGTAAAGTTTGAGAAACTAACCTAACTTATGCTAGCTGTTGTTTTTAGTCTTGTGATAGCTATTGTTTTCTAGCCTTAGTGTCAACTATTGTTTGTGATTTCATGCTAGCCACTGCAATTCAGTAAGGTCTAGTCACTTAAACTATTCATCCTAAGATGTAGGAGATCTCCACAACAGATGTGAGTAACAACACATTAAATATAATCATATTTGTTGAAATGTTAAACATGCAGAAGTTAATTAAGTTATTATGCCGAAATTGTTATGTTGTGAGATGTGGTATGTTGATATAATGGTCATGTTGATTTCTTGTTGATTATGTGATAGTTGTTGAAAGGTGATTAACGCTAATAATATGTTGAAGTCTTTTCATAAGCTTACTCTATGTTTTTCTTGTAGTTGGAATCGTGATAATTATATTTGGTGTATGAGTAGGACAAGATTAGTGGAATAACTTGTGTTGCTAGTGATTAGTCACACTAGAGGTGGTTAGATGTTGGTGGTGGTGGCTACTCTGATGTAGTTATATTTTGTATAAATGCTAATCAACGTTTAGGTTTATTTTACTTTTATTATGATATTTTATATAAAACATGTGTGTACTTGATACTACTACTTATTATATTATAAATTGTCTTTATAAATTATCTTTTTAATTGCATGTTGTTTAGTCTTTTATTAGTACTAATTAATTAATAGTAAATATAGTAATCTATCAATATAAATATAGAAGTGTTAAAATAATTCTCCATTGAAATTCTAAAATTCAATCATCTATATATGTGGACTAATATTATTGTTAATTAAAACAGTGAATCAAGCCCTATTGTTTTGTTTAAAATTTGGCTAAATTGTATTTTTATCTTATTATTATATTCGATTTACAATAACTATCCTTGTTTTTTAAATGTGTAGTTTTAATTATTTAATTATTTAATTAATAAAATTCATAATTTTTTTATTAACAACCTGACATTCATTAATTAATCGTTAAAATTGAGATACAATAACTACAAATAAGTAACATGATTTAAATTGTTAAAACTGAGATACAATAATTACAAGTAACATGATTTAAATTGTTAATCGTTAATCTAAGTTTTGGAAAATTTTCATACGCTTTGTTTAATAATAATAATAATAATAATAATAATAATAATAATAAACTTAAATATCAAAAACATGATTTAAATTGTTTAATCATAAACATTAACAACATTAAAAACTTGTGAGCATGAGTTTGGATCAAGTGGATCTATTCTAGTGCAAATATGCCTATTTACTATTTTACAACAAAGTTCATGTTTTCAGCATTCAGAAGGAGTTTTTGTAATTAAACTACTGTCATTAAAACTTTTTATTTTGTGAGGAAATTCCAAAATACTCTTCAATATATCATCCATCCACTAATATTATCCTTAACTCGAGTAGGACGCACGGGCATACTATTATGCTCGCAAACACATATATTAATTATAATTACATTATTGTGTAAAAAACAATTTCTCAAAAATTAAATTTAATCTTTTTAGTCTCAACAAAAAAAAAAATATATATATATATTACTGACAATAACATATTGGATCAGTTGCAATATTAACTTAATTTGTTATGATATTTTTATTAATAAGAATACTGATAGATGAATTTTGTACAACAAACTCAATAATAGGCAAATATTTTAATGACTATTATATTTAACAACCCTTATATTCTACATGTAAAGATAAATATTTAAATATTAAAAATTAAATTAATGTTAAATATAATAGTTATTAAAATATCATTAATACTTTTTATTTAACTTATTTAATACGTAACTAAAAGAACATTTAAAGAAAAATTGATATCATGCCCTTTAAATTATTTCCTCTTAATTTTAATTATACTAATTGGTTAATTATTGAATTACATTGTTTTTTACATTGTTTTATATTTTAATTTTTTTAAAATATAATATCTTTAATTGATTCAATAGTTTGACGACTAAATTACTCTTATTTTGAGGAAAAAAACTTTAAGCTATCTTACTTTTATATATATATTAAGATTAAAATATATATTAATAATCAGAATATATATTTATTTTAATAACCTTATTTAATATAATTATGTATTTCAATCAATTAAAATATAAAATAAATTAAAAAAAACTTACATATTCCTATTTTAGATAGTAAAAATACATATTAGAAACATTCTTATCTATATATAAAAACAAATATTTGAATTTAAAAATTAAATTCAAATTAATATTAACTATAGTAGTCGTTAAAAATTCATTAATACCTTTTATTTAACTTATTTGATACGTAATAGTAATCATTAATACATAATTTAAAAAATAAAAGACTATTTAAATATAGATTAACGTAGGATCTTTTAATTTATTTTCTCCTTTTTTTTTGTGTCCTGGAGTATCCAAAATTTAACGCGATTGTATACACAAGGCAGGATTTAAACTCCTGACCTTACTTAAGCATGAATCAATCCCTACTGTTGAACCATACGTTTGGGATTATTTATTTCCTATTTTTAATTCTGTTGATTAGTTAATTGTTAGTTTATCTTGATTTTTGTTCCAATTTTATATTTGAATTTTTAAAATATATTACCATTAATTGTTGTTTAAATAGTTAGGAACAAAAGAATCCTTATTCTAAGTATAAAAAATTGCTTCACATTGCAAAATGAGGTATCTGATTGTTGCGGGTTAGCTCGGTGGAAACCACGTGTTACAACGTACAACTGATTAAGCTAAAATTTTAGATTAATTTCGGTCTTTTAAATTAATGCTTAAACTTAACTTTACGTATGTTGTAGCCTTTTCGTACTGACCTAACTTTTTTTCTTCTTCTTAAAATTCAAGATTTATATTAATTTTAAAAAATTAAATAAGTTTTTAGTCTCTTAAAAATTTAAGATTTTATTTTTTATTTTTTCTTATTATTTTTGTCAACTTTTAATTTTTTGCTAATTTTTTAACACATAAATTAGAGATTAAGTTTCATTTGTTTAGTAGTAATATATTGATGTGTTAATAAAATATAACTAACTTAATTATTAATATTCATGTGATTGTTTAATTTATATTAAATTATATAATGTGTGTAATTTTATTATTCATTTATTGTCTGAAGAGTTGCTTCAATAACACTTTTTATTCTTTTTAAAAAAATATTTGATTATGAGTAAATAAAAAATTACACGTGTTATATGATTTGATATTTATTAAGTAATTTCATGAACATTTATAGTCGAATTAACTATGATTTATTAACATGTATCATCACTTAATAATGATACTTAAGAATTTATGAAATAAAAAATTAATAAAATACTAAAATTTGATTAAAAATTTAAGAGACTAAAAATGGAATGATTTAAAAGTGATAGACTTAACAACTTATTTAACTCTTTTTTAAATTACATTAATTTATATATAATTTTTTATTTAATGTTAATAATAAGCTAAAACTTTTATACATGATTTTAACATATGTAAATAAAAATAATAATATTTAATATATATATATATA